ATTACTAAATAAAATTTTTTTTATCGACTAGTTCAAGAGCAGATCTATTCAGGATGAGCATAATACATGTACAGTAAGTAACAGAAACATTAGGACACCAGGATTCACTCGCATTTATCTTCTCGTATTTTAATTATTCACATACTGAATAAATTTGTTCTTTCTTCTTGTAGTAAATCGTTTACTATAGCTATAAAGTATATAGAGACTTTTTAGTTAATTTGTAGGCATTGTTTTGTAGTAAATATTAACTGAAGAAATGCGTGATTTTCGTGTTTCATCAGAGTAGATTATAAAATCAGAATAAAATTTTAATAATAATAATTAATTATTTGAATTATAAGAATTACAAAAATAGATCTTCGTTGTGTTACGTAAACTGTATTAAATACTTATGCAACAAACTAAACTGTAAATATTTACTGTTTAAAAGTATATATCTAAAACATATTTCAAAGGTAAAACATCTCATCTATAATGCTCGTTAAATAATCGTTTTCTACCAAGTGTACGAATATATTCGTTACTCGTCAATTACTTAATGTTTCAATTAATCTTACTAATGTTAATGAATTAACTAAATAAACCCTACATATTTCGTAACTACAATAAATAACTTACAAGAAGGAAAACTGTTCACATTAACAACTAAAATATCAACAGGCAAATTAAGTGTATCCTTAGTGTCCGAATGTTTCCATTTCCCACTGCATACAGGGTGTGCCACAAGAAACAAAACACCTAAACGTCTCTGTTATTATTGAAGATAAAAAAGAATGTCCAACACAAACATTATACTATTCGAGGAATGGTATCTTTCTCTAATTTTCTTCTTCAAACCCATAGAACGCATCTTCTATTCTTAAATTTGAAATGATATTGGCATTACATTTCTCACTTTCATTCGCCGCACTATGTGAAACTTTACAATCGGATTAAAGCAACCGGATAACACTAACAACCTTCGTGATGTACGAAAACCATATTTGATCTCGTGTCAAAATCATGACACGTCCCCTTGAGCAGTGAGACTTCCTGTCTTGGACATTTTCGTCTGTCTTCAATCGTAGAAATATCGAAACGTTACTATTTATATAGAGACATTCGAATGTTCCTTTTCTCGAGACTTATCCTGCATGGACGTATAATAACGATCGACATCTGATTCGTCCGTGCGATAAAGGCTGAGTACAGTATATCAGAATTGTTCCTTATGTTCACGATATTCAATTCCTGCTGTTGATCGTAGTATCTGCCAACGTATCCAATGGTAAGACGACAACAATCTGCACCGGAGCCGTGCGTTTCGCGTTGGAACCCGTTCGTTATCATCTCGATACTGAAGATATAATAGAAAAAAGGACTTGTACATTAGAACGTCATTGTCGAACAACTTTCACGTCCTTCGACAACCAAACGATATTCAACTCAACGATCATTCACTGGTAGTCCTCATCGATTTTGTTCTTTGTCCTCTAAAAACGTCCATTGCTCCAGCTTCTTCGTACTGGTGTCCGACTGCTTCATCTCCTGACTGTCCGACTCGTCGCTCTTCGACTCGTTAGTCTTGTACTCGGACACGTAGATGACTTGCTTCTCCGTGTTGCCTTTCTTGTTCGACTTCGCCATGTCCGTCCTTCGAGGTGGAACAGGCGGTTTCTTGTTCGAAGCCTTCCCGTTCGACGTCGTTTTGATTTCGTTTGCTGATTTCCTCTCGTTGCTCCCCATTATCCGAGGAGCGTCGTTGTCTTCGCTGGGATCGTCTCGGCGCTTCTCTTTGTTAGGCGACAGCTTGATCTCCGTGATGTATGTCATTTTCTGCGGCATCGGGGTGTTGGGCAGGGACGGCCGGCTGTCGAAGTCCTGCGGATTGTAATCCATCGACTCGCCGACCAGGCCGCTGTCTTCACTGTTCTCACCACTGGAAACACTGATATTGTTGATGTTGCGACGGTCGTCGCGATCGAACAGGTTCTTGCTGTTCACAGTCACGCCGGTCCCGAACTCGTACCCGTCCTCGTCCTCGTCGTTCTCGCGGTCGATCCTCTGACTAGTCGGGACCTCGATCACTCGTCTCGTCGGCGACGTGAATTCTATCGACGAGGTTTCGCTGATGTTTCCACCGTGTTTCGTTGTCGCTCCATGCGACATGGAGTTCCCCTCCTCCTCATCCCGAATGGTCATCGAATCGGCGCCATTCCCTTCCGCCGAATTCGAGAAATAGTCCTGCAAGGGTATCGGCGTAGAGGACCGTTTCGAGGAGAACGCCCTCTTCTTGCACGCTTCGTGACGATTGCAGTTGTCCGAGCACACGTGGCAGCCCCGCTTCACGGAGACTTTCGTCGCTGGCTCTTCTTCGACTTCCTTCTTCCCTGCGTACGAAATTGGTTCATTTCCGTCTGACAAGGAACCGTCGTCTTTCCAGCTCTTGAAATGGAACGGATCGTACTTCGAGGATTCCGAGAAGCTCGGCGACTTCTCCGCATACGCTTCGAAGTGCTTCAAAGCCGTCGCGAAGTCCTTGTTCACCGGTTTGTCCTCTTCGTCCGAGGAGTCATCCGCAGCCACGATGTCATCGTTGAAATCATCCGGTAACGATGTGCCTTGCTTGAAGTTCCGTTCCATCTCATCCGGCGTTGGACTTTTGACGACCGTGCCGTCGTTCACGATCCTGGCTAACGAATTGTCCTCGTCAGGATTGAACATTCTTTCCGCGCGAATGAATTCCTCTGTGAGCCTCTTGCTCAGGGGAAGGTTGTACAGCTCGACACTGGTCTCGTCGTCACCCGAGACTTCTCCCTTCGCAGCCACACTGTCATCCTTCAGTTTGATCTCCGCAGCGGATTTGGACCGTTCCAACGAATCTGTCTTCGTGGTCCGCAACTTTTTCGATCTTTCATCCGAGTCGTGCTTCTTGCGCCACACCACGTTCTCCAGGTTGCCCCACTCGTTCGACTTTTTGAGCAACCGTCTGTCGAACGTGTCCATTTGGTCGAGTTTGGTCAAGTCTTCGGTGGACTCGTTGATGTCCTCCGGAGGCATGGGCGCCTTGCGCTTCTTCGTCCCAGTGTCCGTCATGTCCAGACTCTGTGCCCTCTCCAGAGTCGCCGATGTTCTGCATTCGTACTTCGATAAGTCTCCTAAGCTAGCCGCTTTCCTATAAACATCATCCTCGTCATCCTCGTCGTCGTTCGTCTCCGGTATAGGTGTCCTGTGAATCGTGATGTCAGCTGAATTTAGCTCGATAGTGGTGAAATTGTTCTGCATCTCGCTGTCGGTGTCGGATTCCGAATGCCTGGCGTCGATCATCGAACCATCTAGCTTCTGCTCGCCTCGCGAACTCGTTTTCTCCGTGGTCTCGCGTGCTTTTTTCACGTAATCAGTTAAGGAATCCGCATAATCGGTGATGCTATTGATCTCGTCCTCTTTCCTGGATTCGTGGCCTTTCATCGCGGAGTCCTTCTTCGCGGGGGACCCGTGGTCGCCATCTTGACTATTGCCTTTCGGCGGTTGCGGCGCTTTCCTCTTGTTCTTCTGTACATTCTTCTGGTCCTCCGTTTCAACCGGTTCTGCGCCCTTCTGTGGGCACAACAGTTCGGAACTGTTCTTTCGGTTCCGGCGAGCCGCCATGGCTGCGTTGTGTACCTCCGCGGGCACTTCCGACGGTATGTGAACTGACGCATTCCCTTCTTTACCGACCGTGTCCAACGAATCCACCCCGCGATCCTCGAAGATGTCTGTCCTCATCTTCGGGGTACTGGATCCTGGCGCGTTCTGTTGCCGTTGAGCTTCCTCTTTCTTATCGTTGCCCAATAGAGCACCTTTGCTCGAGTTCGACAGGAATTTCTCCGTGTCTAGCTTCTTCGAGTTTCGTCTCTCGAGGTTCGTGTTGTGCTCGTTTTGATTCTCGATACGATGGACCGTGCCATCGAGGGCTGGGAGGACTTTGATTCCAAACTTTTGATGGTTACTCTTGGACTCCGAGTCCTGGCGTTTTTCGTACTGGCCGATAGGCGTTGATTTCGAGGATTTCAACGTGGAGTTCATCGTCGAGTAGCTTGAGCAGACGGACTCGTTCGGGTCGACGATGAACAGTCTTTTCGCGATGCACTTTGATTGGGATAGCTCCGGGATCGACTGGCTTCTGTACAGGGGATGGCAGATCCTTGCTGCGCTAGGGCCGACGCTTTTCTTCAGGAGCGTGGTCGGCTTCGAGCCAGTGCCGCCGCTTTCGACCTCGAGTTTTACGTCGTACGGCGACGCGTAACTTAAGATCGTCAAGGCATCCTCGTACACCATGCTGCGGAAACTGATTTTTACACTGGCGATGCGATCTCCTGGAAACATACAATATTCGTTTATAGAGAGTATTTCACCTAAGAAATTTAGCTGTGTCGCATTTTGAACAACGGATGGAGAAATTTAGAAGGCGATTCTTCGATACTATATATAGCGAAAATTAAAAGGAAAACAATTCTAGAGACGTTGTTTTCAAGCTACTGTCAAATGAGGGTCTCTCTGAATGATGATATTTCGCCAATAATTGCGCATGCGAGATGAGTCATAAGAAAGGATGTACTGCGAGGAAGACAGTTATTCGTCATCACTACATAATCATCGGCAACTTGAAAACAAATTCAGTAGCATAATCTTTTAATACTTAGTTTCCGTCTTACATTGTGATGAAGAATCGCCTTTTAAATTTTGTCCTGCCTGTTGCTGACTATCTTATATATAGACTAAAATAGTTAAAATGAGTTACCTGAATAATTTACTCGCCTATTGTTTAAGGATATAATTTGACGTTTATAGTCTGTCTGTAAATGGAGATATTCATAAAATGCGAAGAACGATTTTATTTTTTTAGGTGAAATGATATATTTTTCACTCATATAGAGTCTATTTAGTAACAACGTGTACAACAAACTTTATCTGAATGCTGTCATTATAAAAATTCTGAAAAAATATTATGTAACCTGGCTGTTTTGTCAAATGTTTTATATTTTATGAGAATTCTACCCACTAATTGTTCAACATATCCTTTTCATACAGATTGTCATATTAATTGAATTATGTGGGCAAAGTGATTATTTTAGATTGATGTATTTTGCTATTTTATGTAAGTCTGGCAATTACCAAAAATTGATTTGTAATGAATCCTACAGAAAGATCCAGGTTATCTGATTTTTATACAAATTTTATATCAGCGTCCAGGTAGAAATGTTGTTTTACGCGTTCTCAGTAAACACCGAGGAAACAGGCTATATTTTCTGATAGAAAATATAAAGAGTGTTCAAGACTGTTGCAGATCGATTACGATGAAATATAATTTACTTCGAGAACCTCGTCTAACACTTTTGTCTCCTTTCTGGTTGTTAGTGCGTCGCTTTTGTAATCGCTTAAATGTAGGTCGTAAAACGTAAATAAACATTCAATCACCTTGTGTGCTCCATATTTATCAGTATCCGTGAACACTAGTATTAGTCTGCCTTCTGTTACCAAACAAAGTGGAAATAAATCTTCGTAAATGCAAAAGTAGACGAACTTGATATGATATGATATGGTATATATATATTTACCATTTATAAATAAATTAGTGAGAGTATAAATTTGCATACATTTCAATGACGTTTAATCTGTAATTAATTTGTATACGCATATATAACCAATATTGAATTCGTAATTTTATGAATATATAACAAATTTATTATACATTCAATTACGAGTTATTACAATATATGAATATATTTATTTACGTTAATTAATATGTAGATACATATAAATATAAATATTCATAAATTATAAATGATACGTATAGTTTATATACAATTTTCAAATGCCTGTATACAAATTTTGTGCGATTTCAAGTTTACTATGGTGGATAACTTGGAATATGCACAAAGAATTATACAATACAACACAGGAAAAATGATTAATTCATTTGGAACTAAAACTTACTTCGAACGAATTCCAACTTTCTCACTACAACGGAATATCTTTTCTTTTAAACTTGATTTATACTACTAAACCTTTTAGATTTCGATCACAGTTTGCTTTCGATTTGATTAAACATTTTTCAATCGTTTACAAGGAACATATTTGTATTCTAGGCAATATTCTCAGATCAGTATCATTTAATATTTTCTGACAATTCTGTCAGGAGTAAAATTGAACTGAAAGGCGATCGGATGTACTATAATCTGCATAAGTGATGCACGAACAGTGTTTTATCTTCACTTTGGTTAAAGGTGCGTCATTTGCAAGTATGACAGTCGAAAAGTGCATCAAAGATAGTTTGCATCTTAATTTCCTTCATGGACACCGAGTAAACTTGAAACTTTGAGCAAATTCAGGCCGCGAGCAGTCTGGTAATATGGGCAAATAAATATTTGATCGAATCGTCAACGGTAGATACTGTGCACCAAGCTTAACAGTCGTAAACATGTACGCACTGTTTGTTCAATTTCTCAATCCGTTATTATTAATCCCGTTATTGGACGTTATGGCGCTGACTCGCAGTTACGAAATATAAATTTGAAATAAGAGTAATTATATTAATTCCAAATATTTCGTTAACACGGGAATATAATTCAGAAGAATCTGTTGCCAGGTGTCACTGAAGCGGAAAACGGTTGGGAATTACTGTTCTAGAAGCTCATCATTTCGACCACTTACGCTATTAAGTAAAGCAGCAAGTGTTCGATCGATTCCTCGAAGTAAATTATTTTTCAGTTCACATCGAACGACCTTGAGTAACCTTTAACGCGCTCATCGCGCGCATTTTAAAACGGTCTGTTAGAAGTCAAATAAAAGAAACATGTCGTTCCGGTTGTAAGAGCGAAGTTGTTCTTCGCATCTGACGCGCATCTCCAGCTAAAAGAAAAACTGTGAACGTTAGATCGTGTCTCTTCTGAAGCCAGGCGAGATTGATTTGATAAATTCTCTTCTATCGGTGACACCGGCCGAGTTATTCAGATAGCCTAGTTCAGACGTGTCGCTCTCTATACCGATACCCATGCCGTGTGCAGATAATAATCAAGCACATTAGCGGCCGAGAAGTAAAAGAAGTGATATATATATATGTAGATACTTCTTTAAATGTAAAATGATCTCACACCTTTATCGCACCAATTGTCTTAATTGTGTTATTAGGTTGTTGCGCACGAGTTGTTGGTTCGTTTAAGCAATCTGTAACCTTTGCGTGTGATCTACGACGATTTTTCCTTTATATTTTAGAATTAATTATCTCGTTTTTACCGTCTACCCATTGAGAACAATCACCTGCGGCGATTTAATCTATGTTAAACGAATCTCGGGTGCAAATGTTTCTAATAAAATCTTTTTCCTCGGTTTAGCTAGGCTTGGAAAAAAGTTTATGAGAAAATACTTGGCGGATTTTTAGAGCAGCCAATATTAATAAACATACGTTCTCTTTAGGAGGAACTTTCTACTGTGTCATTCTTACATTAAGAATCGTTTGATGCGAAAATTATTAAATGAGTCTTAGATAATTGCTAGTAAAATGTGACGAGGTCTTTTATTATTGGCAAGTATTTATTGATGTATAAGAATTCGAATAAATTGTTATTATTTCGGCATTAGATGTATTACATTGTCGTCAAATCATTTGATTAATTTTGTTATTGTACTTCAATTTTAGTTAATCTTGGTTACTATATTTTATTATATTTAACCATCGGACAATAGAATGATTTTTATTTTCGGAAATGAGGGATCTGGGTCATCTTCGACTCATGTAAAACTACATTTATTATTTGTAAACTAAAATCTAACCCATTTCACCACATTATATCTCATTTCTTTTAGCTGTATCTTTTAATAATCTTTCAAGACTAATAATATTGATTAATTTGTTGTAGAGTTTCATCGTTAGACGGCCAAGATTGATTTTTCATGCAATAGGAAACATCCGCTAGCTTTCTAATGTTCGTTCATATTTTCTAATATCCTCAGCTGTTTTTTATGCAAAAATGGTCAAAACGTGGATACATTAAACTTAATTTACGTTATTAATTAGTTGACCCTGTTGCGTTATTTGTATTCGTTTCTCCATCATGTTCCCATTTTTTCGGCACCATTACGTTTGCTTTGTCTTCTTCTGTTTATAGTTGCGTTCTCATTTTCTCAAGGATACTTTTGAATTCCAAAAGAGAACAAGAAAGTCATTGTTATTGTACGGATCATTATTTTCTCAATGATACTTCAAATGAGAGAATGAATCGAGCAAGGCTAATGAAGTAATGGTTGACTCAGTGCAATGTCCTAATAATTCGAGAATATAACTTATATGTTATAATAACAACTGAATTGAAATCGTCAATTTCAAAACAGCACAAGTCCACTTTTTAAAGTTATCCATATGAGTATTGATGTAACCATTTTCAGCTTACTCAGACCTATGTAACATTACGTTTACGAACATTTATTCGTTCGTTCAAATTTTGGAAGTTAGAGGTTTGAAAATGGATAACCGACAAGGAAAGGTATCAAACCCAGAAATTCAAAAAATTATGAAACTTTGTGTGTAAGTAGAGTAAGTGAAGCTTAATACATAGTAATTTTTTGTTTTGTGACGAATTTCACTTTGAAGAGGTGAAACCACCCCTTGAAAAAAGTGCAAATGTTTCTTTCCCGTGGATTATCTTGAGACCGGTGAGAGATAGCGATACAAAGTTTAAACAAAAAATATATTGTTCTTTCACGTTTATAAAATTTCAAAATGCATTTTTTCAAAAAGTTACATTATTTTCAGAATTTTTAACAATTTGATTTCGCAATTTTATAGCAGTAAAAGATCAATGTATTTTTTATTTAAACTTTTTTGCGATATCTCTTACTGTTTTCAAGATAATCTACGGAAAAGAAAAATTTACATTTTTTTCAAGGACTCGTTCCATCCCTTCAAAGTGAAATTCTGAACGAAAATGACTGAAAGTCTGAAAGAAATTCAGCACGAAAAAATTGATACTACTTACACACTACAAACTACTTACACACAAAGTTTTATAATTTATTGAACTTCCAGGTTTGATACCTTTCTTCGTGAGACAGATACTGACGTAATTGCATCAATCAAAGTCGACGTAAACATTTACCAAATAGTACTTGTAAAATTCAATGCGCGCCAAATTGACGCGTTCCGTAATCCCAGTGTTAATAATATTAAAAATGTAAACATAATGGAGATGTGTGTGTGTAGCCAATGCTTGCAGAAGGAATCAACGAAATAGGTAATAAACGAATGAACGAAGATGAAAAGAAAGATTGATTTTCTCGAAATGTTGATTGCTTGACTTGTGCTATTTTGGAATTCATGCCTTCAATTGTGAAACATCCGTGGTTCATAAATAATTACCAACCTGGATGTATGCGGCCGGATTCTGATGCAGGTCCACGGTGCAGGAGATCCTTAACAAAGATGCCTTCCCTCATATTGCCGCAAATGTTAAATCCAAGTCCCGTGAAGTCCCGACTCTTTAGGCTAACTACGTTAACTTTCGTGGCTTTAGGCTGCACAGAAGAAATTATCATGTTAGTCGTAATAACAATGTTCAGTGGAACTTTATATGACACGATTAAAACATTCCGTGTTATAGCGATTTCAGTTTACGAATCGCGCGTTAAATTCCCCTTTTTTGGTACTGGTCCGTTAGAAATTCGATTTATGAATTTGTTTAATGTGAGTTCGATGTTCAATGTTAATTTGGTTTGCTAGCATGTTATGTATTCATTAAACGACGTTACGACCTGATGTTATGTTGAACGTTGTTGTTTCCACTCTTTAACCAGTTAACTGTGGAATTTAGTTGGAAAAAGCTCTCGTTCTGCGCGCAATAAAATCGAAAAATGGAGCGTGTACTCGTCGAACGCAGAACGAACGCACGTAGAGTATATTTTAATGAAAGATCAAAGCGGAACAAAGAAGAATTACATGTTTATGTGAAAAAATAAAGAATTCATCGTTGAAACAATTAGTATTATGTCAAGCTTTACAATGACGTGTATACTCGTCAAACACAGTTAACTGGTTAAATAAATTCTGTTGTTGTATATTTCCCGATTAAATAATTTCACGTGGTCTAAATTCTTTCTCTGTTTCTATTATTTATGAAGAATCTCACTGATATAGTTATTTTTCAAGAATTTTAAAATCGCGTTATTGAGAGTTCTACAGTAATTATTAATTAGAAGAATATTTTCATGCAATAAAATATGTATTATATAAGTGTTTGTACTGTGTTATCGTTCAACAAAAGTTTTATATATTTACAACTTTTTTTGCATGTTATTTGTGTAAATAAATAGAAAGATATGTGACAGGGTGAAATTAAGTGTTACCTTTAATACTAGAATTATTGAAAGTTTAAAACTATTATATTACACGTAATTTCTTATAATAATTGTAACAGTACATATTTTTAAGTCTTTGCGCGAAATTCATTGTTTCCTGTTAAAGAAAATATTGATTTTTGTAATTATTTTAGATATGAACTGTTTTTAACTATTTTTTAAAGTAAGGAACTTGAAACCAGTCGTATTGACAGATATGGTAATAGGTTAAAGACATTCTTGGGTATCAAGTAAGCATGGATGCAGGAATATTCTTTCTTATAAAAACTGAATATATTATATATTAGACATGTGTATAATATATAGAGTTTATAAAAGCAATTATTTCCGGAACTATTCATTATTTAAAAAGTATCTCAAATACAACTTTTTCTATTTTGATGGGTTTTCAACTTAGATAGAATGACCTACTGTATCGATCGGAGTAAAAAGAACGACGCAACTATATCGAAAAAATAGTGGTAACCTATACTTCTTCCACACACAAGAACTTCCTCAAAATACTCCTGAAAACTCTCTAAAATCAAAATAAGTGTATCAAATGATTACATTATCATTACATTATGATTAAGAGCATTTTTGTTGGATACGAAGAATAATTAGAAATACATAGGAGTCACATTCGTAACTGAAAATATTAACAGTTAACATTGTAATTCAACTTGTAGGCAACGGACATCCTCTTCATCAAGAAACGCAGGGGAGGCACGTGTCGAATATGGTTAGATTAACTGTACGTGTATCCAAATTTGGCCATGCCAAATACTTGTTAATGCGTTTGGAATATTGAAATGGAACGTGTATTCTAAAGTCACGTCAGTTTCTTTTCAAGAATAATTTTCCGCTGTCTGCTTCAACCTTAAGATATATTCAGTAAATTATTGTTTTTATAATAATTATTTTATAAAAATCATGGTCAACGAAGAGTTTTAATAGTTAATAGCTTTAACAACTAAGAAATACATTCTGTTGGACACGGAATAAAATATATATTAATTGTTGTTAATTGTGTCTTGTATAATACAATTGCAGATTCCCGTGGTTAGATGTGACGTGATTCAATTTATTGTCAAAGAAACGAGTCTTTCTTTGTACAAGGAAATCAAAAGGATTCCGTTTTTTCCGTTTATAATGATTTCATGTAATACATGCATGATACTATAATTATGTATATTTTATACATAACCTGACCTTGGTATTCTTACTCTAATGAATAATTCATCTGTTCTTTTCTCATGCAAAATTAGTTGAAAATGTAGAATTAACGTGCAAAGAATTTCTTATATACATGGTTTCGTTTACAGAAAATCAAAATTTGAATATTTTTTCATAATCTCATTTATATCAAAACTTAGGTATTGTATGATGAAGTTTGTATCACCGAATTAACATTTCTTCTTGATTTCAATAAATTTGATAATTGAACATTGTTAGCTGAAGAGTAAGAAATATTAATTAACTGGAATCTTTAAAAATTCTTTTTCTCTATAAAAGTTTTGAATCGTATTAAAGATTAGAGTTTTAGTTATAATAATTTATTATATATTATTAAATTTATTTTATTATTAAGGAATTAAATTCCTAATGCAAAAATAAAAAATAAAGAACTTTTAACAGTATCTAAACTATTACATAATAATATAATATATGTCAGTAAAATATAATGGTTTAGATCGACACAAATTTTTTGGATTTAGTCGATTACAATTTATTATTGCTACAATTTATTATTCATGTTATATTTAAGTTACAGATATTTAAAACATCTGACATTTTAAAGAAGAGAAAATGATATCATTAGCAAACGTTAAAGAATGTGATAGTTTACAAATAGATTTTTTCCTATCACTTGAAATCGATTGCATTAAATATTGATTAGTATTGAGATTCTTGAGCTTCCTAGTTTTCAAATTAAGTTTGTTTCCGAGTACGGTATGAAAATTTATAAGAAATTTATGCCGAAAATAACATTCGGTGTTACGTTCCCTTTATTGACCTATTTTGTGTCTTCTACCGACCATTTTATGTCCCCATTACCGTATAGTAGTTTCAGCTATTACACTACACACAAGGGTATTATAAATTCTGTACCTATGGCTATTCTTGAAACATTTCATTGAATATAAATTCATTTCCGTTAACGTAACAGTGGAAGTGGTAAAGTATTATTATTTTAATATTTTTATTATTTTCTAACCAGTATAGTTTACAACTTCCTTTAAAATCGTTTTATTTTCTTCTCTTATTATTTACTTTCGATAAAATGGGATAATCAACTGGTTGCTAATACGAACGTGCTCGCTAATGGGATTATTTATATTCCAGAAAACATTTTACTTCGTCCTTTCGAAATATTTTAAATAATTTATCGTGATGAGTATTAGATAAAACAATTATAAAATTCTTTCACGCATCATGCAGCTTCCATGTAGCGTCAACATATTCAAATAAGCATTATTTAAATGAATTTTTTCTTTTTACGTGCTAGTCTTTTCTTGTTCTCCATGTTTATTTAAATTTTTAGATAGTAATTCATATCGTAAGTAACGCTTGGAATGTACAGAAAATATTAGAAATATTTTTAACGAGTTACAGACGGAGGTTGGGGAATATAAAATGCTCCCTTTAAAATCACAACAGGTATTAATTTCATTTTATGTTTAATGACGAAACGAAGTATTTTATAATTGATAAACAGATAAATTTAATTTTAACTAATTCGGAAAACAAGACCTAAAGCGATATTACACCAAAAGATGTTATCGATTATATAATCAAATAATGAATGTTCTGAAGTTTGGTGCGCATTTTTAATTAAATAGTATAGATAAATGATAATTTGAGATCTGACAATCTTTTCGGAGAATACTGCTAAAGGAAAGCAAAAGTTCCTTCATTTTTATTTCAAAGGGTGGCATATTAGCCTTTTTATTCGTATAGCTTTTAATGAACTAAGTAAAATTTATGTACTTTAATCATCCTTTCCATTTCGCATTGTTAAAGAATTATTACGAAAGATTTATTTTCAGAGTAACTTCGAGAAAGCATCAGAGAAATACGTGTAAATAAATGTATAAATAAAGTTTTAGATTGAAAGTTATTTGGTTAAACACTCACAATGATGCTCTTGAACTTATAACCATTCCTGAAGTTTTTGTTTGCTATTATGAGTATCTTTTGAACATAATTTTAAGTTTCAAACAAACTTATGTATATACAGTGTGTATTATTATTGTCATATATTTCTTTATATATTATAGGAATAATATTATATTTTATATAACGTTATAAAAGGAATGCTAAATCACAAGAAAATCATCACGTACAATCCAATAATTTTTAAATTTCATTTCTAATATCTTAGGCGTATTAATAGCAATATTCTTGAATCCCATCATAATGAAAGCATATCTTCTTCTGCATATGCGGTAGAATACTTTCTAAATCATTCTCTTATTACCAAATAAATAATTAGAAAACCATGTTTGCACGTTAGAAAACCGTTCGTATAAATCTGTTGGTTGCAATTAGTTTAACATGCATATATATAGTGAATTAAGGAAGTATTTGAACGCTTTCAATTAAAACGTTTACTGCTTGAGAAATATGAATGATTAAAAACTTCAAAATGCTTTTATTCCAGTAGTAACGTCTAACTGTTTGGATTATGCACATTAAGTTTACAGATTATTCGATAACGCGATTAATATTTATGAAGCGTTCCTTGGAAGTATCTCTTATAGGAACGTCGCAAAATCGACGTAGCAAATTCGAAATATTCGGATCACTGAATATTAATAGCTTCTTTGGAATGTTAATATCTGCTAGATCCACTGTGAGAACTCGACGGATCTTACAAATTTTCAAAACACGTTTCTTTATATGATATTAAATTCCTAAAATCTGTTTTTATTAGCGTGTTTGTAGAATTTCTTTAATCTTAGAGGAAAATAAACAAAAATGGTATAATTTTGCACAACAAATTAAGAAAATATCCGATTTCTTTCATTATAAATGAAGAGTGGAAACTCGGAATTGTAAAGGAGCTTCATTAACACATGCGGAATCTTATTAGGAACGAACATGCAAAATGTGAAGTCAATTAGTAGGATATAAGCGAAGTTTTCCCGTTCACTGTGAAGAGCTAAATATTTTTCAGAAAAAAATCATTTGGTTATAATCTCGTCAATATTTAGAATTAAATTATCTATCTATGAATATCTATCTATGAAAATTTGTATACAAATATTGATATTCTTAAATGTTCAATCGGTTGTACACTCTCAATTTTTAACGATAGTTAATTCGACGAAACATATTCAAATAAAAAGGAATTAATGAGTCATTTCGTTTAGAAAGAATTAAGAAGTCTCTTTATGTCTTTGCTAGTCATCACAAGAAAATGATTTGCTCACTAAACAATTAGCTTCTCTATTCCATTTAATTAAAAAAAGTAGTGAAGCCAATATTTAATTATGCAATGTATTCAATAGTGATTCTACAAGAATTTTATTCTATAGTAATGACTATACACAGAATAATAGAATAATAGAATACGATACTTTTGTTAAAAAGATATTGTTGATCTTGACAAGTCGAAAAAAAATGACAAGGAAAAAGTCATGAAGCATAGTATACATTTCAGTAACAGTTATTGAAACATGTTTAAACGTGTATAATGATATAAAAATATATATCATTTTATTTAGGAAAGATTATCAAATTTTTGAATATCAAAATCGACTTTGTTCCCAAAATGAAATGTCTTAAAATATAAGTAATAATTATTTATACACGTTTCAGTGTATACAATGTTATAAAAATGCATAGTATTTCATTTTATATTCCGCAAGAATCGTTCACATAGCTTCTAAACGCAGAGAAAATGTTAAAATTTGAAACTTTGATTCTTCTATTTCAAAATTTCTATCTTCAAATTTATAACGTAAGAAAAAGATTTTCATATTCACATGTACCGTACAAAAATGTATAGGTATTTTCTATTGCATGTCGTAACACATAAAAAACAAATAAAATTTCAATTTATTGGTCAGTGTTAGAAAAGTGTGTACGAATCGATATATATCGACGTATTTAGCATATTGTAGTTTATTTGTTATTCGGGATACGTTTTTGTTGTTACGTTATAATCATATCTTACATGTCTTGCGGTTTGTCTAAATGCGTTTTATATATTAAATAAAAGTATAATTTATTGAAAACCCAAGAAAATAAAAGTACAATTTATTAAAAATCCAACAAAATAAAAGGACAATTCATTAAAAGCCCAACAGACAGTGTAATTTAGAAAAGGAGACTACTTACACCAACGTAAGAATCGTCGAGAGCTTTTCGCTTATCATTGCGATTAGTTGATCCTAGACCCAAGGACGTCCAAGATGTAGACCATCGTACAGAATCTTTACCTGGAGTGTCGCCGGATGCCATAGATACCACACCTTCTCGGGTTCGATTGGTCGTCGCTGTGGTGACATCCTTGAAACAGGGATTGTCGAAAGCATAGGCTTCTTCTACGATCTCTGGGTCTGTCACGAGTACCAAGTGTTTCCCTGAAAAATTTATATTTCATATGAAACTACACGAAAACATTTGTTTTTTAATTGTTTCCTTGTAGAAATTGCACTTTTTCTTATTTTCTATCGGTATTTTTGAAAATTTTTCGTTTAATCTGTAAATCCTCGATTGTTACACTTGTTTTGCATTGTTTTGTAATATACATTTCGTAATTATTGTAAATTTTCATTTAACATATAGTGCTGTAGGTATTATGGTACAATTATGTTTAGAAATCTTTAACCGAATGAAAAAGAAAAGTTAAGATTATTCGAAAATACTGTTGAATACAAGTGAAGTGTTAACGTAGTAATTGATCGCACGCATTGAGCCATTTCCATATTTTCAACATTCGTTCTTTAATTAATTTCAATGAAACTTCGTATCGTTGTTCAAATTACTGAAATGATTTTCTTTTGTTGTAATAAGCAGAACGGAAACTAAAGTAAATGAAAGAAAAAGATTAATATATTTAAAAAATGCTTCAGTGCTTTGTTTCTTCATTTTGGACAATAAATTTTCGTTTTAGTACATCAACATAGTATTTTGGAATATTGTTTCTATTTCTAAAATGAACTATATGATTAACCAAGAAGGTTTCGAAAGTTTCCATCCTTCTTGTATCCATAATAAAATAATTTTGCATTTTTAATGGAAAACATGGAATCAGAAAACATACAAGCATATCAAACGTAATAGCTAGTTATTAGGAAAGATTTGTTTACAGATAATATAGAACGATATTTTTATGCAGGTTAATAGGTCATCGAGTTTATACTACGTACTATGTCTATACTTGTTAGTGAAACATGCAACAATGACTATGTAGTAACAGCCACATATAATTACCATAGTACAGATCTCGTGGAATATTACAGGTATAAATGAAACAAAGTGTACACTTAATGCAAATATATTGAAAACAGATTTTTATACCAGTCTGTAACCTTTAACGATTACACATGAAGTCATAAACAAATTACTATTCAATATGTTCTGTAGCACATTCTATCTAATAGTTATCTCGAAAATTGCATTAACGGAAAAAATCGAGATTTAGCAGAAGTCAACTGCAATGATTAATAATATTTTCGACGAACAATATTTTCATGCACACGTTCAAAATGATTTTTCCTTCATTAATGTTGACCGGTGCTTGTGTGAGGCTCTGCTTACTCGAGATTATTTACGGTCATTTTTCATATGCAGATGAGTCTTAACAAGCGTCAAGAAAGCGGAGTTCTATCATGGTAGGAGAACTGCCGAGAGTTAGGTGTGTCTCGAGTGAATGATATCTACATAGATACTCGTACACGAATCGCCACTACGCTTATCGGTGTTCATTTACGCAAATTATAGACACAATATTATATTCGGCGTAGAAACGAATTGCTTTTAAATTAATTTTCATTGGCATATCGTATTATACTATATCTATATAATTAACTTATTATAATTAATTAATCCTTTTCAAAGAAATTAAGTTGTTCTTAATGAATTTATTATTCGTTTACGAAGAGACCATATATCTTCTGATCAAAATATTCGCCTTTGCTTTTTAATAACTTTGCTCCATTGTCGAGGCAAAAATGGAATTTCCAAAATGGCACGCCACCATGTTTGAAATTTGAAATGGTCGCTTACTTGGGAAACTTTCGAAAACTTCTGAAAGTTTCGCGAGAACGTAGTGTAAGGCTCATCGGTTTCGTTATTATGTAGTTTATGTCATCATAAACGGTGACATCATCGAGCAGATTTATACTTATTTAGTATGTTTAGCAAGGTGATTCCTGTTCAAGTGTATGCACGCCGCATACACGCATACCAGGAATTATACATTCCATTCTGGCGCTTCCAAAGTGCACGTTCTTACTGTACTTTATTCTGATCCGAATGAATATGCTATTATGGAGATTTTGTTTCAACTTGCGAAGAAAATTCTATTGCCGTTTTATTTTTGTCTTGCTTTGAGAATTATAGAAAACAGAACATTCGAAGTGTTGTAAATAATTTTTGTCCTAAATGTCGAACATTAGTCAATATAGAGAGTTAATAAAAATGATTAGGTTTCATTATGATTTATAATGGTTATTAATATTATCCTTTTTTGTAGAAATATTTGATGTAGATTGAATGTTAGATTTAGGATATGAATTCTAGAATAGTGCAACAGAGCATATGTTAATTAATTCAATGTAACATAATTCGTCGATTAATCAACTGAGCAACTACAATTTTTCTTAGATAATGTTACAAAATTTACTTTTAAAGATATCTGCTCGGGCTAGAAGCGAATTGTTCGTGCTATATTTTGAATGCTTTTCTGATATCTTGTAAGTAGAACAATTTAAAGGCTGAAAGGTATTTTAGAAACCCCCAAAACGCATTTTATAAGCATTTAGAATAATTAGGATAAACGTATTTTCTAAATGCTTCGAACACATTTTATAATTAGTTAATAGAATTTAGAGAATTCTGCACTCGCGACTAATTTTAACATATATATACTTTAACATGTACACATCTAACATATAAGGTGTATAAATGTACAAGTTGTAAGAAACGATAAAACACTTTTACTTTGTATTTAAGATGTTAACACTTATTTAAATTTCTCGAATCATGTTCATTGTTTCTTATACCCATTCATGTGTACTATCCATATTTATTGTAGAATTCTTTTCTGAAGCACTGCGTGTATGTATTTTCATCTGGCATCAATGTCATCAGTTGCGTCAGACGTCACAAAATCTTTTAGTTTACCTACACAGTTCGTTCTAACTGTTGTTATAATCTCTTGCTTGCGTATAGTAATACTGGTTGAGTACTTCCGACATACCTGATAACAACACGTGACACAGAAAACTGAATTTTCAAGGAAAAATTCGTCAAGAGCCTTGAAACAATCGATAACGATTTACTTTCCTTTCGTTCATAGAACTCACAAGCAGTATCAACATACAAATATTAGGTCATCCTATAAAGTATGTTGTTCTTTTAATGCTAGTTTCTAGTGTAAAAAATGTACACTTGTGTTTTTTTAACTGTCATTGCTATGACCCTTTCCCATTCTTCGATTAATTCTTTAACGCCATTTTCGACGTATCCTACAAAACCTGATAAGACACGACGTTACTTATGGGATAACCTAATGTTGTGATTTTTCAAAATTAACATTGTACATGTTATTCTATAATTCAATACTTGCTGACAGAAATTATGACAACTACATTTGCAAGTCCATTGGTTTAAATGTTATATCCATGCACGATGTTTTTAAGAATAGTTGAATTGATATAACAAACTACTGGAAAATGATCAGAAACAGTAAAAATATTTACTGTCTAAGAAGTGAAGTTTCTATAAAACAAATTTGATTAAATGAATAATTATGTAGAAATAATTGTAAGCAGAAAGTATACGATTCTATTTCTAGAACTGTTTAAAGTCAATATTCAAGTAGCAATAAAATTTATTGCCGGATTTTTTGTGTAAATCGTTTTTAATTGCAATAAAATCTCTATTATCCGAGTGTTGATTATCTTGAGAGTCATTTATCCAGAGTGCGGTAACTCGATATACCGGGTAACATCGTTTTCAACGGATATAATTACACGGTGTTATTACTTTCAGCGTTTCGTTGGTTATTTACGTCCCCGTTTAATTCAATAATAGGTATTCTAATTGTAATAAACGCAGCTATCGAAATGTTTACTCATCGATTACTTACATATTTTTCTTATGATAGCTTCTAATCAAATGAAGCATTCAGAGACGTACGATTTTCGAAGATTAAACGGCGATTGCGTTAAAATGGTCACCTTGCTACTTTCAGTGTATCTTTATCAATATCAAGTCATATGACCTAATATGAATGTGTATGTACGAACTGATACTAGAAAAATGTCTGATTACAATGGATCTTTCTACTGTAAACATCATTCACGATTTAATGCTATTCTTCTTGAACAATAACAGATACCCACTATCGATATTTGAAAAGACAATTAATTATAAAACGTCATGTAATTACCCAGTGTAAAAGAAACATGAAAAACTAAGTGAAAAATATGTAATAAAATTTCGTAGAAACTGAATTCTTCGAAAATGAGGCCTGAAATCAAAAACTTTCGTTGCACGTTTCCAAGTTTTTTCCATATAGAACCATCTTTTCCACGGTTGTAGGTTGCCGTGTATAATCGCCGTTACCTTTAAAGTTACATTCACGTAAAAGCGTTGTACATTTTTAATCATGACGTTCAATCTCGGAATAATTCTTCTGACTGTTATAATACTTTCACGCGGACTTCCGAAAGTATCATTAAATTTTTCTATCGAGGCGAAATTCGTTCTTTTTTTTCTAGTATCTATTAACAGTTCCTGATCGGAACTATATTTGTAATAATAGGACAAGGAGCATATTGTTACATGCTAATAACGCAACAAAAAATCTTAATAATTTTGTAAGTGTTTAATGTAGATAATGCGAATTAAACACAGTGCTGAACAAACATATGTTTGTTTAATGCCATGATATTAAAAATTAAGATATAAATCTCTATAGCTATTTAAAAAATTGATTTAATAAGCAAATTGGTTAGTATACCTCTTTATGTATGTATCTAGATTATGTATCTAGGTGAACATACAATGAGAAACAATAATATAAATAAATTCATACGCGAAATAATAGCAAAAATAATTTTCAAAAGTATCAGTAGATTCAAACAATAATATCCATAAAGAATTATAAATAAATTTTTAATATTTTATTGTTTCTTCAATAATTTCTTCTTTCTACATAATTTGACAAGTACCTTCTTTAATTCAATTATAACTGTTATAAAATATAACTTCTAATTTCTTCTCCACTTTGTTTCATGCATTTTTTAATAAAATTATACGAATGGTATTATGCATGCTCTACTGGCGAAAAATATACGTTGTATTCCTTAAAAAATGTATTTTTTCTTTTCTGTACTATTTAATAGATTTTACTGCGGTATATCTAAACCTAAATAATTTAAATATATAATTATATGTTTAGTTTTTCCCAAATCAGTATAAATAAATGAACTTTACTATCAAAAGAAAACAGTAACTTTTTTAAAATTCAGAATTCCTTATTGTAGTTTCTCACGCAAAACCTTCTTGTCTTTCCTTACTCATTTTGAGCACGAACGATTTCCTTCGAGATGCACAAACATCCTTCAATACCATATAATTTATTTATATTATGTAAAAGTATTATTTTTTTTTATCTTACTTCTTCGCTTACTGATACACTGTTTCTTATTTCACTGATCGAATAACAGGAAAAATCGACTACTTAGTAATTTCGAATTCCTACTTAACAATGCTAATTAGGAATTCTTTGAAGAAATTACGATGCATTATATTTTGCATTTTATACTATGAGTTGTGATTGGACATCTACAAAATGTTCAGAAAACGTACTTTCGATATTATTTCGTATATCAGGTTATTTACATTGCTGTCTCTTATTGTATAATAAACTGGAATATTGTATAATAGACTGGAATAAACACACGTAAAAATAAACGTGTCGGAAAATTCGCTTTTACATCAAGTTTTGTAATAGTTACACTCAACTGAAAAATTTGGAATCACTTGTCCTGAATACAGTTCGATTTCTTTTATTCTAGTGAGCAGAAAAGATTGATAGTTTTCTTTTTTAACTTGTACAGGTTGAGCAGTTTTACGCATCGAAGAATGTCCTCATTAGAGATTAATTTAATACATCATCGGAATCTTTGTCTTCTGTCCAGGTAATTAGTTTTCCACGATAATATCTTTAATACGAGGAATGGATATTATTTCATTAAAGGTATGGAAAATAATTGGAACCAATAATATTAAACAAATACAAATTAATTGTTGTAATGTTAACATTTTTCTG